AAGGGGAGCCACTCAAACCCAAAAGACCAGACACACACTCCCCCCATGCCTGGCAGCTACGGTGCGGGCCCACGATTAAAACTTAGATAAGCCAGTCTTGCCTGGACCTCTGGTTTTACCGTGCCAGAGAGAGAAAAATCACTGGGCATTGGCTACAGTGACATCTGAGCCCAGGAGCAGGGGAGGCAATGGCCTTAGGGCTGTTGACTCACATCTAGTGCTGGCCAGAGTGGGAGTGTCACCTGCAGGCTCCAGCGTCCAGCAGTGGCTCAGTGCTGTTCACACAGACCATCACCAAGCAGGTTTGGTTTTTGGTTCACGCTCACTTTTCTGAGCCTTACGTTGCTGCCTTTCCAGAAATGATGGGAGCAATCCACTATTTTTTTCATTTCCTTTTTGCTTAATTCAGCCAGTCCGTTTCTGTTGCTTATTACTAAGAAAACTGAGTAACATACCTGGTCACCTTGCAAAGCCATTGTGAAATCTGGCTGAGTTATTTCAAGTGAAATTGCTTGGGGAATAAGAAATTGTGATCTAATTTCATGCAGTGAATATTATTAAGATCTTTAAGAAGGTAAAGGATAAGTTCAGGCAGGCTGTGGACTCAGGATGCTTTCAAAAGAGGGAAGGGCACAAGAACTCAGATGACTAAAGCCCAACATACAGTCAGAGGGATCCTATAAGAGAGAGAGAAGCAAAGGCATGTGGCAAAAAGGGGAGGAGGTGACACATAGAGAGAGTCAAAAGACACATAGCTCGTACTAAGCTGGGTAGATGAACAAAATTTCCACGGGGGAGTAAGTATTGGACATCATCCCTAAAGGCTAAATTACTAGGTAGGGCAATGAATACTGACCTTGCAGTCAGCTGGTTATCTCTCTGCCTTTCCAGCTCCACTACAGGGTCCTTTTTTTAAAAGATTTTATTTATTTATTTGGCAGAGATCACAAGTGGGTAGAGAGACAGACAGAGAGAGAAGGGGGGAAGCAGGTTCCCCGCTGAGCAGAGAGCCCGATGCGGGACTCGATCCCAGGACCCTGCGACCATAACCGGAGCAGAAGGCAGAGGCTTAATCCACTGAGCCACCCGTCCACTCCGGGGTCTTAAACTCCTTGGTTCTGTTTCCTCGACTATGAAATGAGAAAGTTCCAGCAAGCGGTCTGCAAGGTCAGTATGGCTCTTCATTTCCAACTGAGTCCCATAGGCTGTTAGGGAGAATACTGCAGGTGGAAGGAGCGCGGTAATCTAAAAAGTAACACGAGGAAGCCAAATGGCAGGTGATCCATAAATTTGGTCCTATGGCACCAACATCAAAACCAAAGGGGAACCAAAAGGGAATTTGACGGAGAAGGCTGTCCCCCTTGGTTTACAGTTACGAAGACTGTAGTAGCTAAAGAGAGAGAATTGCTACAAGTCACATAGCGGACGTCGGAGCGGAGGCGGGGACCCAGGTCTTGGTCAATCAGCCCAGGGCTGTTTCCCCCTTCAGCGTTGCTCTACAATCAGTCAAGTTTGGTGTTTACGGGCAAGCAATGGTTTTGAGGCCATCAAAGACCAAAATTCTATTGAGCACTGTTTAAGACAACCGGCATAAAGCTTTAATCATTCATCTGTGAGTACTCTCTCTCTATGGGGGTCTTACAGGCCAGGAGAGTAATATAAGAAAAGTGAAATAAACCTCGGAATGACAATGTTACATTCAAAATTTAACCAGATGTAAATCTAAGCAGAGTCTGGGACCTGCCTTCAGTTTATACCTGAATATCTCGCCTGTATCTTGAATTCATCACATAACTTTCTTTATTTTAGGAAATAAGTTCTCTGGTGCTTAACCCTAGGTCAGAGGTCATTTATGTTTTAACAATGAATAATTTCAGCTTTAAGTTGATTTGAGGACACATCACTTCTTTGCCTTTTGGCTAAGATCAAGTGAAGTTGATTTGAGGACACATTTTAGTGTGTTTTTCACAGGCTAAGCAACTTTAAGAATTTATTTTAAAAGATATTTTGCCCAGAAGATGCACCGTGTTTATAAGGGTAACAGAAGGAGCACTGAATAATTAAGCTCAGATTTAAAAATATTACATGTTTTCTAATTTATTTAATTCCTTATGATATTAAGACTATTGGCCATAAAATAATATTTCCTTGCCACTGAAGTATAGAAACCTTTTAACACTGAGGTATTTATCCTAAAGAGTAATTATCATCATCAATAATGCTTGCTTGGAGATAAGAATTTAATATTTCACTATTTTATCAATAACTACGAATGCAAAATACATTTAACCAAATAACAGTATGTGTTACCTTCTATGTGATTGCCTTCTATTTGATAACAAATAACGGAAGTATTTACCCCATCTCCAAAAAAAATAATAATTCATAAGAATCATTCCATCACTTCAAGGCAGGCTAAATTAAAGAGTAAAAAAAAAAAGATTATAGTTTATTGATTTCCTTAGGCTACTTAAAAATAACTGTGGACCTCTATTCTTCTTACCATGAAACAAAATATTGAACTCTGCCCTTCAGGCATACTACCATACTTCAAATGCTGATCTTATCATCTGCTTGCAAGTCAAACAGAGTTGGACTTTAAAAGGAAGAAAGGAAAAGCCTGGAGCCACTGGGAGGCATCAAGGGTCAGGCTGTTGGTCTGGTTCTGGTCAGAGAGGACCCAGGGTCACAATGCCTGAATAAAAATCACTCAGCTCCACCCAGACAGTTTTCAAAGTACATAATAACCAGAATTTGAAATATAATATATAAAGAACCATATTATGAAACCGATGTTCTATTTGGCAGCTTTCCATTTGTTTTATTTGTGAACGAGAAAGAGTAAAATTTCCCCTTGTCACTGAATTTGAATTGTTTGCAACAATGAATCTCTATAAGAAGCTATAAAATAATAATGCAAAGTGATTGGAAATCAGTGGAGTTGGATGGGGGTTTTCTCAGACGTTTAAAATTTCAACCGCATCCCATTTAGTTTCCTGGATGCTCATCATTTTGTACTAAATTGTGAAATGTATTCATCAATCATAAGTGGGAGTTAAAAGCTCCCCCAAAGTGCAAAGCATTAAGAATTAGTTCAATTAATAGTCAATTAACTAAACGTCATTTGTTTGCTGGTATGAATGGCTCCTTTAAATTAATCTCTCTGGCTTCTTTTTGAAAGATTTCAGAATTTCCCATCTCTAACTCCCAGGGACAGACATGACCCAGGGGTCTTCCTGGAGCAGAATCTGACACTTCCCAGCAATAACCTGGATACACGCTTGGCTGTGACCTGGGAGGTAGCTGTGAGTGTACCAGGCATGGATCAAAATTCTGGACTGGAGACGCTCAGGGGAATGACCTGAAAGGGTTAATAAGGTAAGTACTTCTTTCTGAAATGCACCCACATGTGCGTTGAAGATCTTCAATTTTGACTGAAACTTAAAATGTCACAGCAGTTTCTTACGCTCTTTTCTTTCCCAAATCTAAACTATTCTTAAACAGGAAAAGGACAGGATGACCATGATTCCAATTCTGTATTCCAACTAATAATCTGATTTGTGTTACTGAACAGAAAAGAACATTCTCCAAAATAAAACCTTTTGAGCGGGATAAATAAACAAGACTGCTCAAGAAACAAATCTGGAAATGGCTGAGTTTTAACTGTGAGGGCCCCCCTCCCCCTTCGAAGAGGCGGGTGCTGTTAGAAACCTTGCAGAAGGAGAAACCGAACACTTCTGAAACCGGACAGACACAAGGGGGCAGGAAGAGCTCAAACTCTGACTTAAAAACACGCTCACTGAAATGGGAGCTAACCTATTTTCGTTCGCCCTCCGGTTATTTATCAATTCTCTTGGCATGCAAAGAAATGGGATGCTGACAAGTAGGTTTAGTTTGTACTCGGACTAGTTACTGCGAAGAGAACAGGAACGTTTCTAACGACAGCTCCCCCGAACCGCGGCGGCTTCGGGAGAGCCTGGGGCTACATTCCCTAGAACTTCTTTTTTGGTGCTAGTCTCGCGATTCCGATCGGACTGACTGCATTTCTCACGCATTCCAAATATTCCTCCCCCCCTAGGGCCCCCCTTTTCCCCTTTTACTCTGAACTTTGGTTGCAAAGGAGGGGCTTGTTTAAAACTCACCAATCCAAGGACTGTGCACCACCCCCCCGTAATTTACAAGGAGAGTGCGGCGGCCCGGGGTGTGTGTGTGTGTGTGTGTCTGTGTGTGTGTGTGTGTGCGCGCAACCTGCCCTAGCATTGGCTTGTCATTCTAGCTGTCCTTCTTTTGCAAATATGCCCCATCCTTTCTTCCCAAACTGCTCTGGGTTTCGATTCAAACACAAGCGACATTGCGAATAACTTTCTTCTCGGGTTTGCAAATCCCGGTGAGCAATAACCACACTCCCCCGCGCGAGACTGCAACGAATTGGAGGGGATGGGAGCAAAAATGTGTAATCTTGGATCCCAGGCATCTGAAGAACGGATTCAAGCCCAGCCGCGTGTCCCGACTCCTCTGCTGGAACCCCAGCCTTGGCATCCCAGAGCGAAACGTGAGCACAGGTGGGCACCTCGAGACAGCGGGTACCCCGCGCTTCCAGGACAACTTGTAGAGCCTTGAATATCCTCCTCTTCGCCAGGTTTCCCCGCCTCCGCCCCTAGGAACTGATTGGCAGATATCACTACCCAACCCTCAACTCGGGGCCTCCTCCCGGTACCAACGATTGGCCTCCTGGGAGGACTGGAGTAAGGGGGTGATAGGGGAGGGTTTTCCCTCAAAGCTCTAGGTCCCGGGACCTGGGAAGCAGGAGTGGAGGGACTCGGTTTTCGCAGCCAGTGCGCGGCCGGTGGCGGAGCGGGACGCCAGGGGGCTTCAGCCTCCGCTGCAGCGCCAGCCCTGCCCGCCCCGCGCAACTTTCCATCCTGGACCAGCCGCGGCTACAGAGCAGAGTTCCTGGCACTTTCCGGAGGGGGTTTCTTGCTCCCTGCCGGGGGACTGACTGCGCTCTCTTAGGCTGACCTGTCCGAGCCCTAACACCCGGACCATGCACGCGGCCAGGACTCCCGGGATCGCCTCCGGCGCCGGCGGGGTGGCCAACCCCACCAGTTTTCAGCAGATACCTACGCTGCCGCCCCTCCTCGTGTTGCTGCTGCTGCTTCTCCTGTCACCGGTAAGCTGCGTCCCGGCACAGCCCGCTGCCCCTGAGCGAGCGTTGCTGTCCCCGGATCTCGCGGGGGCTGCAGGGGTCCCCGCCGAGGAGGCCATAGTGCTGGCGAACCGTGGGCTCCGGGTGCCCTTCGGCCGCGAGGTCTGGCTGGATCCGCTGCACGACCTGGTGCTGCAGGTGCAGCCGGGGGACCGCTGCTCGGTGACCGTGCTAGACAACGACGCGCTGGCCCAGAGGCCTGGCCGCCTGAGTCCCAAGCGCTTCCCGTGCGACTTCGGCCCGGGAGAGGTACGCTACTCGCACCTGGGCGCGCGCAGCCCATCGCGGGATCGCATTCGGCTGCAGCTGCGCTACGACGCGCCGGGAGGGGCAGCAGTGCTACCCTTGGTGCTGGAGGTGGAGGTGGTCTTCACCCAGCTAGAAGTTGTGACTCGGAACTTGCCCCTCGTCGTGGAGGAGCTACTGGGGACCAGTAATGCCCTGGACGCGCGGAGCCTGGAGTTTGCCTACCAGCCCGAGACCGAGGAATGTCGCGTGGGCATCCTGTCCGGCCTGAGCGCGCTGCCTCGCTACGGGGAGCTCCTTCACTACCCGCAAGTTCCAGGTGGAGCCAGCGAGGGGGGCGCCCAGGATCCTCTCCTGATGGACTGCAAAGCTTTCCAGGAACTAGGCGTGCGCTACCGCCACACGGCCCCTAGTCGGTCCCCAAACAGGGACTGGGTGCCCATGGTGGTGGAGCTGCGGTCTCGCGGTTCGCCTGTGGGCAGGCCTGCTCTGAAACGTGAGCACTTCCAGGTGCTGGTGAGAATCCGAGGAGGGGCCGAGAACACCGCCCCCAAGCCCAGTTTTGTGGCCATGATGATGATGGAGGTGGGTCAGTTTGTACTCACCGCCCTGACCCCAGACATGCTGGCCGCTGAGGATGCTGAGTCTCCCCCCGACCTGTTGATCTTCAACCTCACCTCTCCCTTCCAGCCTGGCCAGGGCTACCTAGTTAGTACTGATGATCGCAGCCTGCCCCTCTCGTCTTTCACTCAGAAGGACCTGCGGCTCTTGAAGATCGCCTACCAGCCCCCCTCTGAGGACTCTGACCAGGAGCGGCTCTTTGAACTGGAGTTGGAGGTAGTGGACCCTGAAGGAGCTGCCTCAGACCCTTTTGCTTTTATGGTAGTGGTGAAGCCCATGAACACACTGGCTCCCGTGGTCACCCGGAACACCGGTCTTATTCTCTATGAGGGCCAGTCCCGGCCCCTTACAGGCCCTGCGGGCAGTGGGCCACAAAACTTGGTCATCAGCGATGAGGATGACCTGGAGGCAGTGCAGCTGGAGGTGGTGGCTGGGCTCCGGCATGGTCACCTTGTCCTTCTGGGTGCCACCCATGGCAGCTCCACCCCTAAGACCTTTACGGTGGCTGAGCTAGCGGCCGGCCAGGTGGTCTACCATCACGATGACAAAGATGGCTCACTGAGTGACAACCTTGTCCTTCGAATGGTGGATGGAGGACACCGGCACCAGGTGCAGTTCCTGTTCCCCATCACCTTAGTGCCTGTGGATGACCAGCCACCAGTCCTCAATGCTAACACAGGGCTGACACTGGCAGAAGGTGAGACGGTGCCCATCCTGCCCCTTGCTCTAAGTGCAACTGACATTGACTCAGACGACTCTCTGCTGCTTTTTGTGCTGGAGTCGCCCTCCTCGACTGCAGGGCAACTGCTTCTCCGCCAAATGCATCCTCCCCGTGAGGAGGAGGAGCTGAGCAGGGGCCCTTGGAGGAGACAGGGAGCATTCTATGAGCAAACGGTGACAGAGTGGCAGCAGCGGGACATAAGCGAGGGACGGCTGTTCTACAGGCATTTGGGGCCCCACAGTCCCGGGCCAGTGATGGACCAGTTCACATTTCGGGTCCAGGATAACCATGATCCTCCTAATCAGTCTGGACCACACAGATTTGTGATACGCATTCACCCTGTGGATCGCCTCCCTCCAGAGCTGGGTAGCGGCTGTCCCCTTCGGATGGTGGTGCAGGAATCCCAGCTCACCCCTCTGAGGAAGAAGTGGCTGCGCTACACCGACCTAGACACGGATGACCGAGACCTGCGTTACACAGTGACCCAGCCTCCCATGGACACAGACGAAAACCACTCGCCCGCCCCACTGGGCACCTTGGTCCTGACCGACAACCCCTCAGTCGTGGTGACCCATTTTACCCAAGCCCAGATCAACCACCATAAAATTGCTTACAGACCTCCAGAGCAAGAACTGGGAGTGGCTGCCCGAGTGGCCCAGTTCCAGTTCCAGGTGGAGGATCAAGCTGGGAATGTGGCTCCGGGCACCTTCACGCTTTACTTGCAGCCAGTGGACAACCAGCCACCTGAGATCCTCAACACGGGTTTCACCATTCAGGAGAAGGGCCACCATGTCTTGAGTGAGACTGAGTTGCGTGTGAATGATGTAGACACTGACGTCGCCCACATCTCTTTCACTCTCACGCAGGCGCCCAAACACGGCCACATGAGAGTGTCTGGACAGATACTGCATGTCGGGGAGGTCTTCCACTTAGAAGACATAAAACAGGGTCGGATTTCCTATGCCCATAATGGTGATGAGTCTCTCACTGATAGCTGCTCCTTGGAGGTCAGTGACAGACACCATGTGGTGCCCATCACTCTCAGAGTGAACGTCCGGCCGGCGGATGATGAGGGGCCCATGCTGAGCCTTCCTGCTGGCACTCTGGGGTCTTACCTAGATGTTCTTGAAAATGGAGCTACTGAAATCACTGCCGGTGTTATCAAGGGGACTGACGAGGACACTGATGATGTGATGTTGACTTTTGTCTTGGAAGATCCACCCTTATATGGAGAAATCCTGGTCAATGGAGTTCCAACAGAGCAGTTTACCCAAAAGGACATCTTGGAAGGCTCTGTCATCTATGCCCATACTAGCGGTGAGATAGGCCTGTTGCCCAGAGGGGACTCTTTTAACTTGAGTCTGTCAGATGTGTCTCAAGAATGGGTAATAGGTAGCAATACTATCCTAGGAGTTACTGTGTGGGTGACCATCCTCCCTGTTGATAACCAGGCTCCAGAAATTTCTGTAGGTGAACAGTTTATAGTTGTGGAAGGTGATAAAAGTGTTATAACCTCAACACATATAAGTGCTCAAGATATTGATTCACTAACTGATGACCTCTTGTGCACTATAGTTATCCAGCCTACCTCCGGTTATGTTGAAAACATTTCTCCAGCCCCGGGCTCTGAGAAATCAAGAGCAGGAATTGCCATAAGTGCCTTTACCCTGAAAGACCTCAGGCAGAGTCATATTAACTATGTCCAGAGTGTCCATAAAGGGGTCGAACCTGTGGAAGACCGATTTATATTTCGTTGTTCTGATGGCATTAACTTTTCAGAGAGACATTTTTTCCCCATTGTCATCATTCCCACCAATGATGAGCAGCCAGAAATATTTATGAGAGAATTTATGGTGATGGAGGGCATGAGTCTGGTGATTGATACGCCCATCCTCAATGCCGCTGATGCTGACATGCCCCCAGATGATCTAACATTCACTATTACCCGATTTCCTACTCGAGGTCACATCATGAACCAGCTGATAAATGGCACAGTTTTGGTTGAAAGCTTCACCTTGGATCAGATCATAGAGAGTTCAAGCATTATTTATGAGCATGATGACTCCGAGACCCAGGAAGACAGTTTTGTGATTAGACTAACAGATGGTAAGCACTCAGTGGAAAGGATGGTCCTCATTATAGTTATCCCAGTTGATGATGAGACCCCCAGAATGATGATCAATAACGGACTAGAAATAGAAATTGGGGAAACCAAAATTATCAACAACAAAATATTAATGGCAACGGATTTGGACTCTGAAGACAAATCTTTGGTTTATATTATTCGATATGGGCCAGGACATGGCTTATTGCAGAGACGAAAACCTACAGGTGCCTTGGAAAATATCACACTGGGCATGAATTTTACTCAGGACGAAGTGGACAGAAACTTAATTCAGTATGTCCATTTTGGACAAGAGGGCATTCGGGACCTAATTAAATTTGATGTGACTGATGGAATAAATGCCCTCATAGATCGCTACTTTTATGTTTCCATTGGGAGCATTGACATTGTCTTCCCGGATGTGATAAGCAAAGGAGTATCCTTGAAAGAAGGTGGCAAAGTCACCCTCACAACAGACCTACTAAGCACCAGTGACTTGAACAGTCCCGATGAAAACTTAGTTTTTACCATCACCAGGGCTCCCATGAGAGGTCACTTAGAGTGCACAGATCAACTTGGAACATTCATCACATCTTTCACTCAGCTCCAACTGGCTGGCAACAAAATCTACTACATCCACACAGCTGACGACGAAGTCAAGATGGACAGCTTTGAGTTTCAGGTCACTGATGGACGTAACCCTGTCTTCCGGACATTCCGTATCTCCATTAGTGATGTGGATAACAAAAAACCGGTGGTCACCATCCATAACCTGGTTGTCAGTGAAGGTGAAAACAAGCTGATCACTCCCTTTGAACTCACTGTCGAAGACAGAGATACTCCTGACAAACTCCTGAAGTTCATTGTCACCCAGGTGCCTGTTCACGGTCAACTCCTGTTCAACAATACCAGACCCACCATGGTTTTTACCAAGCAAGACTTGAATGAAAACTTAATCAGCTATAGACATGATGGCACTGAGTCGAGTGAAGACAGCTTCTCCTTCACTGTGACTGATGGTTCCCATACAGAGTTCTATGTTTTCCCTGATACAACATTTGAAACAAGGAGACCCCAAGTGATGAAAATCCAGGTCTTAGCTGTTGACGATAGTGTCCCCCAAATTGCTGTGAACAAAGGGGCCTCCACACTTCGCACTCTGCCTACTGGTCACTTGGGGTTCATGATCACAAGCAAAATATTGAAAGCAGAGGACAGAGACAGCCTACATTTTTCTCTCAGGTTTATTGTGACAGAGGCCCCTCGACATGGCTATCTCCTCAACCTGGACAGAGGCAACCACAGTGTGACTCAGTTTACACAAGGTATGGTACTCTTTTATTTCCTTATACCCAATGGAAAATTCAGGTCTTATTTTCTGAGGGTATGGCTATTCTTGAAAATGTTGTAAATAAGGGATCAAATTTGAGTCCAAGGGAAGAAAAGGACAGGGAAATAGAGAGATGGGGGCGGGGATGTGGGGACTTACTTTTCTGGGAGAATAGCTCTCTTCTTGCCGTATTCCCACAGCAGTGCCCTGCATTAGAAGGAATTTCAGTGTCTTTTGACAGCAACAAGGTATGTTGGTTCCAAGGCTGGAACCAGACTTGAGGGGAATTAAAACTGAAGCAAGCCCTTCAGGTCTGCTTTCTTTCCCACCCCCGTCGTCTGAGTGGTCTGTCAGGTGTACTGCAGGTGGCTCATGAAGCATTTGGGCACCTGAGTGAAGGTTGTGCTTTCTGAATTCTTTGTATTCTTCTTACTGTTATTTTCACCTTCCATTCAAATAGAGCCTTCAAGTCTATATTACTTTAATTGTTAGAGCATTGTTCTAATCCTATTGCAGTTCTTAGAAACTTTGTAACTGAAAAAAAAATGTATACGTACTTCTTAGATTTAGAATTCTTCTCTAATATTTTATGACTTAGGCAAACACCAAATACATGAAGAGGTGTAGAGTTATAACAATTATATGTACAAGGTATGGTTCCATCGCACACACACACACACACGCGCGCGTGTGCGCACATGCGCACGTAGAGCATCCTTAATGATGTCCGAGACAATATGTCTATCACCAGAATGTACATTCATTTTATTAAGAACCTGAAGATAACGTTGACAAGTTGAATAGCAGGACAGAAGGAGGAAATTATTTTCTTGTTTCAGATCTCTTCTCACTTCCTCTTTCAAACACAGTAACAGACACCCGTGGCCTCCAACACCTGCATTCTTGAAGCTAAAGCGTTTTTCTAACCTAAATTTTCTTTGTGTGTGGACACAGTTGAGACAGGAAGGGCAGGTGACCTCTGCAGAGTCACTCACTGACAGAAGGGGGAAGCCCATTCAGTGTGCGGGCTTGAGAGGCAAGGCTCTGTTCTCCAGAATGTGCGACCTTCCCTACAGAGGGCGACAGGTGGCTTTCATGAAAATCTCACCATGTCAGGATGGAAACTATATCTCTCCTGTGTCAGCTCTGTGAGTGGAGATGGAGTTTACCCTCGGGGCATCCCAGTGGGGGTGTTCTTTTCCCGCAACAGTGTTGGACTCTAACAAATGCTTTAATAAACGGATGTCGCGAAGTTTAGTGTTAAAGTGAACTGCTTCTCTGTTTTAGCTGCTGGCAAATAGCCCTGAACTCCAACCTCCTGATTGTTGGCCGAAAGCCTGAATATATTGTAGGGCCTGCAGGGACAGGAAAACCTCAGAGTGCCAAGTGTCATGCCAGACCAGCGGGAAACTTTTTGTGTGAAGGCTTTCTGAGGACAGAGATGCCATGCAATCTTAGACTGGTTTGTTTGCATGGAAAGTGAAGAGGATGAAAGGAATACATTACAGGATAGAAAATGTGATTTCAAATCGCTCCCCTGACCTGAAACAAGTAATCTGACTTTAAGGATTAAAAAAAAAAAAAAAGGAATTTGTGGATGAAGACAGGCAGACAATTTAACTTAAAGTCTATGGAGCAGGTCTGACAGCTGATAATGTTGGAATATTATATCTTAAATATCAAACCCTAAATTATACTATTTCAGAGGGAGGCTGTTGCATGTGCACACGTTCTCTCTCTCTCTCTCTCTCTCTCTCACCAATATGGACTCACCTTTATTAGTCTTTATGGTTATTTGTAAATATAGAGTAGCAGTTTATTATAAAAAGTGAAGATACATTTTTAAGGTTATAAGAGAAATGAGCACATTCCAATAAGAACCCAAACGCTGCCTAGGAAAACTGTTGGTAATTCATCACTGAGCACTCATCTGAGCAAATGGAGGCTACAGTTTGGTTCAGAGTGGTTGTTTCTGGAGACAAGATGGCTGAGAGAAAATGGGGAAGCTCCACTGTCAAGCCACTGTGCTGTTGTCTTGAAGAGAAATGAACGCAGGAGCTTGAGTAAGGACAACACTAGCTTTGATCTGTTTTTGTTTTTCTGTTATCATGAAGGGATGAGCTGAGCTGTATTTTGATGGATTTTCAGTGCGCTGAGTTAAGTCAAGTTAGCCATATATGGGCAAAGAAGTTTGTTCCCAAACCGATTCACTAAATGGTCCCTAGGAAAAGAAAATTCATTCATTCCTAAACCTCATCCAATTTTATTAGAAGACTTAACAAGGTAGAATTAGACAAATTAGAGAAATTATTTCAATGATGTGTCTTTGGCAGGGTGCCCCTGCTGTCTCCGTCCCGGGCTTAAATCACTTGTCTCAAGGACCGACTGTTTTCTCTACAATAAGTACACAATAATGTCTTGTGAGAGATACATTACAGATCACTTTCAGAAATTTCCTCCAAAGAGTTTGAACCAGGGGGTGGTTGCCAGGCATGTCAGTGAACTTAGAATTAAAATGAAAACCCCAAATCATGGAATGCTTGTATACATGAACTGAAATAAATCGGATGTGTGATCAGTGATTAGAAGAAAATCCAGGTAATTGTTAGATGTTTACCAAAAGGAGATGACCTTTTTTTGCTACTAGGTTTTGATCTTCCTAATACTACTGTGCCTTAAGAAGTGAGTGTTTATATATAATTTGTGATGTTTTTGATAGCTTTAGAGTTTCCTATACAATAACAGTGGTATGATCAAAGTCTTTACTTATTTGAGATTTTTTTAGAAGTCACTTTTTTGAACCATGAATTACTAACTGAGTTATAAAGAAATTGAAAAGGGTTTTGGTTTGTTCCAACTAATCAATATTACATGCCCTAACTTGGGCGGAAAATTTGACACCTGCATGTCCTAATTGCATTCATGTTCACTTTAAAAAAAAAAAGAAAAGTTTTTAAGAAATCACTTTTGAAGTGGTGATTTGTTTCAGCAAAACTGTCTCCTAAATACCATAGCTTTTGCAAGAAAACAACGATGTAGAGTTTGGGTACACTAACGAATTTTTCATTTCTTGTGGTAGAGCTTTTAGATTTTCTTACACAGTTAAAAAGGGAATGGGGAAGTTTGGAAAAAGGTCTTCCCCAGATGACCAGAAGACTGTCCTTAGGCTAAAGATGTGCCCTTAGAGCACAGTTTTCCTGATGAATTAAAAGGTTGGAAGGGGTCAGAGTTGTAGGAGTAGACAGGTAAAGAGCCTGCAAGGGCTTTGCTCCTTACCTCTGTCAAAACATCACACACACGGAGGTAGCGGTCGGAGCATGGTCCACCAGACCTCTGGACTCTTTCATTTTAAGAAAGGTTTGAGCTGTTACTGAATATTAGACCCTGAGCAAAGGACTGGATGAAAAAAAAAAAAAAAGGATGAAAAAAGAATCCCAGAAGTTTTCCGTCTTCTAGGAAAGGTAGCCACGCAGAAAGATACAAATGACAGTAGGCAGAAATTTGGGGAAATTAGAGCAGAGTTAGAAATAAAATGCTAAGGGGGAAGAATATGTCTTGAATTTGCTTCATCTATTAGTACCCCTTTTACAGGAAGTTACCATTAACTATTAAATCAGATTTTCAAATGTCGGATTGTAAGCAAGTCACCTTTCAGAACTGTATGAGACAAGGGAGCGTGTACATTTCCCATCTGTCAGATGGGGTCACAGAAATTCATGGAGTCATTCGTTGATCCCAGTACCTTACATCACTTGAGCTTATTATTTCATAAATCCATTTTCTTATATATGATGCTTGCAGACTTCGTAGCACGAACTTAGTAGAAAGAACTCTTAGAAGTTGGAAAAACTGTAGAGCCCACTGGAGCCACACAAATGTTACATACCACTGGGGAAACTACTCTTAGCTATAAACTTGATTTTATATAGCCTTGGAAATAACTACTTACTGCCTGGCCCAGGTCAATAACGTCATGCTGCGAGCACCACAGAAGAGGATGGTTCTCGGTTTATTATGTTGTCTGTGTTTAATCATTTAGGAAAGGAATTAGTAAAATGCATGAATAAATTTTTGAAGTTGTATGTCAGTCAATCACTGAAAAAAAACTGTGCTGGTAAATTTGAGAGCTGGGCTGGAAAGCAAAAGAAAGAGGGTTCCTGAGGCAGAATAGCTTTTCACTATGAATAAAGGTTTCAAGTTTTGTTAGATGTTTTCTGTTCTAATTCTTTTCTGGGGTCATGACAGTTATTTCAATCTTTGGGATGTAAAATGTCCTTGATTTTTTTTTTTTCCCGAACTCTGGAGAGCTTAAAAACAGTCTGTTGTGTATTGCAAGAGGTAAGAAACGTTAGCCAGAGAAGGGCAGGGATAATTCTTTCCTCTGAGAGCCAACCCTCTAGGAAGGAAAAGAGTGATTTTGGCAGTGTCAGGAAATCTTTGATGCCTCAGACTATCTCCCTTTCCACCTGTCATGAAGTCTGACATTCCGTATTTAGACAGTCACTTCTTTGGTGCATGAACATACAAATAACATTGGGAGGGGCAACACCTTGCTATTATTATAACCTAACTCTTGCACTCTATCTGGGTAAGGGATCAGATTTCCATGGGACAGCTGAAATCAAGGGGCTTAGAGAGAGGAGAAATCAGATAGCACTGCTTCCCTTGGAATTGGGAAACCTAAACGTGATTACAGAGAAGAGCCAGTCAGATTTACCTTAAGTAATGAGTCACCAATCTCACCTTAGTAATGAATCATCTTGTTCTTGGGTTATTTTCTAGCTGACATCGATGACATGAAAATATGCTACGTTTTAAAAGACGGGGCCAATGCCACAAGTGATATATTCCATTTTACAGTTGAAGATGGTGGTAAGTATTCACTCTCCTGTTAGTATAAACCAAGAGAGTGACTTTTATTGGTTATTCTTTGATGACTTCACTACAAAGAATCTATATCAAGTATCCTTTTCTGTTCACCTGAATTTATACTGAATGAATTTTTTATTTGCCACTAGATAATCTTACATTCTTAATCTGACACAGTACTACTCTGCAATGAGTATAGATAAATGTTCCAGTTATATTATTGTTGTCTTAGGATTGCAAAGCACTAAAAGAAAGACCTATGTAAATAGGATCCCCATGTCCAGTTGTTCAGAATATGTTCTACATGATTCTGCCCGCTTGAGGTGGCAAGAGGATGTTGGAATCCACCCAGCTTCCACTCTCAAGCCATGTGCCTACCCACATGTGTCTGCCCCGAGGGGGTGCCTTTTGCTGATTTGTACTTGGGTGCTGTATGGACTAATGCTGTTGAATAATTTCATTTATCAGGAAATCAGTGCTAAGTAAATGTATTTTTTATGTTATCAATCTCAGTATGTCTAATGATTTTCTTAGTTTGGAGGATTTTGTGGCACAGTCTAGCTAAAATTTTCCTCGGGGGGGGCGCCTGCGTGGCTCCGTCGGTTAAGCATCTGCCTTCGGCTCAGGTCATGATCCCAGCATCCTGGGATCGAGCCCCAAATCAGGTTCCTTGCTCAGTGGGGAGCCTGCTTCTCCCCTGCCTGCAACTCCCCCTGCTTGTGCGCGCGCTCTCTCTCTCTCTCTCTCTCTCTGTGCCAAATAAATAAACACAATCTTAAAAAATAATAATAGGGGCGCCTGGGTGGCTCAGTGGGTTAAAGCCTCTGCCTTCAGCTCAGGTCATGATCTCAGGGTCCTGGAATCGAGCCCTGCATCGGGCTCTCTGCTCAGCGGGGAGCCTGCTTCCCTTCCTCTCTCTCTGCCTGCCTCTCTGCCTACTTGTGATCTCTCTGTCAAATAAATAAATAAAAATCTTAAAAAAATAACAATAATAAAACAAAATTTTCCTCAGTGAAGTCTGAATACTGCAGAGAATAGGCTCTGACCTGTGTTCTGAGTGTCCTGAACAGTGTTATTGTCACTGTCCCCCAAGGCCTTGATTGCTGTTCACCCTCTGTTTGGCTCTCTTCCTAATGCAGTATGCCGGGAGAAAAACGGGCCACTTCTGGAGTCATCATAAAGATGTCTCTGTTCTCTCAGCAGAAGCAAAAGAGTCTCAGGAAGTACGTATGTTGTGTGAGCAGGACACAGGAAGTGGGAGGAGGATATGGGGGTAAGAGATGAAGGAAGGAGAAAACAAATGATTCGGATCTAGTCATCTGCTTTCTTATGATGCTTTTTTAAAAAAGTACACTCTTATGTCATGTATCTCAAAAAGATGACATGCTTCCCTTCGCTATTTTGTGAAGCATTAAATAGCAGTTGTTTAAAATATCATTGGACATAATGCGATCACAGCTCTAAAAAATGGCATCTGCTGGGCGCGTGCCAGAGAGGCAAAAAATGATGTTAATTTAGGTTCAGATATTTGATTTTCCCTAGAGGCCAGATGTTTAGTAAATTTGATGCCTTTATTTTTATAGTAACCAAATCATAGTTTAATATTTTATGTATGGATAAAAGGAATCTTAGTGTGAAACCGATTTCTAAGAAGGAAGCCGATTTATAAAGAAAAACGTGCTTACTGAATCTTGATGCTCAAATGGGAAAGTCTTCCGTCAGTAAACTTTACAGGAGAGCTCTGAAATAATTCAAATCTGTGTAGTAGATCAAAAATTTTTTTAAAGATTTTATTTATTTATTTGACAGACAGAGATCACAAGGAGGCAGAGAGGCTGGCAGAGAGGGAGAGGGGGAAGCAGGCTCCCTGCTGAGCAGAGAACCCGATGCGGGGCTCGATCCCAGGACCCTGGGATCATGACCTGAGCTGAAGGCAGAGGCTTAACCCAGTGAGCTACCCAGGCACCCCAGTTGATCAAAATTTATAGACTAAATTATTAGTTCAAGGTACCAGGTTTTTCACTTAGAATGACTGCATATATCTCAGTAGCAAAAGTCTGATTTTCTTCAAAATTACCCAAAAAAGTTTGAAATCAAATAGTTATAATTTTAAGATATGGTAGTTTTGCTTTTTTAATATTGTGCTTTCCCCCCTCCGTTATTACATTTCCAGTCTGACACAGAGCCACTCTGTTACTCCACCCATTCCTTTCCTTAGCTGGATGGACTGGTTGCATTTCCTTTAAAATTTTGATTTGTACTAAAACTTTAGAAAACATTATGCCCTATCATATTTCAAAATATTAAGTGAGAAATGGCTAGTTGAAGAGACAGGGTGTATTTTTTGATTTGCTGAAAATGTGGCTGAACATCAAAGGGTTGTGTTTATGGAAATAGAAAATGCATCATTTTCGGGAGCTTTTTTGGAGCTGGAGTTTCACGTGAGAGGGAAACATTCCAGAGAAACAGTTCTTGACCTTTCTTCTCACCGCCAACATGGCATTACTTGTGGGGCTCGGGCAGATTCCGACAAACTATCTATGGAACAGAATCAATCTTAATTCACCTGATATAAGGAAACATCCCTCTGCAGAATAAACACAGAAACCTGCAAGGTTAAAAAAATAAAAATTCAAGTATCTACTTCAAAATTGTTTTAATCTGATACTTACTATTTAAGGATTTTTGCACTGTCTTGTAAAATACTCTAACATTTGAATGAGAAATGCAGTACTATTTAAAGAGTATCTTGAATGAAATTATGTCTCTGGGAAGGATGAGGTATTTTGCCACACAGAAGTAAGAAATATTGCCAATATCTGTGGTAAGAGGAAGAAAATAAAGATATCCATCCTTTCCATAAAAATAATTTTAAACTGAGTTTTTTGATCCATAAAATTACATATATCTCATTTATATATATCTTGTTAATACAGTCCATAATTTTTTTTAAAATACACTCTAGAAAAAATATTTTTGTATAGACTGTAATATGGACCTTCATCTTCAAAATCTTTATGTTTAATTACGTAAATTTTATGTAATAGAATATATGTTTATGAAGACACATATATGATATGTTCTGACGCTTCTCAAAGATATGTATGTCTTTGGAATCATGGAAGGTGCTTGAATCCTATGAACAAACATTATTCATGTTTTGTAGTTGGAGGGATCCAGGTGTCAAAAAAGCCAGGTAACCTCTCTGAATGTATCATCTGTCCAGGAGGTAACAGACCTCTGTCAATGGCTACTTATTCTTCCCATGTAGGTGATGACAGACTTCTTGGACCAGTGAGTTTGGTTACCAAGTTTGTTATCATCTCTTTTATACAAAGATAGTAAGCATATCCATAAACCATCTCCATGAAGTACATGAAATGCTTCCAATATTTCACATCTGGGAAACCAGTTACAGCACCATGGCCTAAAATTAAGAACTGTCTATTCCAGTTCTCTTTCCAATCCATAAAATTCACCTTCTCCAGGTCCTCAAGAGTGTTTTTAGAGGGACACCTGACACCTGGGTGGCTTAGTTAATTAAGACTCTGCCTTCGGTTCAGGTCATGATCCCAGGGTCCTGGGGTTGAGCCCCACATTGGGCTCCCTGCTCAGCAGAGAGCCTGCAGCTCCCTCTACTTGTGTGGTTCTCTCTCTCCCTGTTAAATGGATAGCTGAAATCTTTAAAAAAAAAAAAAAAAAAAAGCGTGCTTTTAGCACAGTGACTAAGGAAATTACTAGAGCAAGCATAATCCTTGAACAACCTAAAAAACTACATAATAACTTTTACTTTCAGGAGTCAAGAAGAGATTTAGGAAAGTGGAGAGCTGAAAGCCCTTGTTTCAGATTTAATTATATTATCATGAAAAACTAGCTAGCCATAGAAATCTTGTTAGGATGTAGTGATGGACTAGGACCACCCATCACTAAGGGGATGGTGCTTAGGACAGAGTTACCGCTTTTTAGCTCGGGGCTGTTACCAAATGGCAGGACTGAAGAGTAGTTTATTTGAAGAATTGGCAATGTCAGGATTTTACCTCAGGGAGTGCTACTGTGTTTGGATTTTGTAAGTGTTGGTTGATATAGCACATGTACACACGCGGAGAGAGATTCTTATATTTTAGGATTCTTTCAATTAGGCCTAAACCTTATATAAGATTTATGATTACTTATGCAGGTTTGCTTTCATAGCATTCCTATCAGCTTAGTAAAACAAACAAAAGTATTACTGTTCCTTTTTGGCAGATGAGGAAACTGAGTCACAGAAACAGGTAATTGTCCTTCCTCAAGTTTCGTAACCAGGCAACCAGAGGCAAGTTTGAATCCCAGGATTCTTTCTGCAAGCAATGGGTTTCATACTTACGCAGGATAGGCAAAGTGGGGTGTTAATTTGTTGTCTCCTGGATTCTCCTGACCAAGGTTTTAAGAATATTTAATGGTGAGAATGCCTGTTTGTCCATAGGCAAAAGTTATGTCTCTTATATAGTGTGAATTTTTATTTTAGAGGTCTTTAAAGTCCACCATGTACTCAAATTTATAGTATTCTTGTCTAATATCATACTGTAATTCGTTTAAAAATATATATGGAAAGAGGGGCGCCTGGGTGGCTCAGTGGGTTAAGCCGCTGCCTTCGGCTCAGGTCATGATCTCAGGGTCCTGGGATCGAGTCCCGCATCGGGCTCTCTGCTCGGCAGGGAGCCTGCTTCACCCTCTCTCTCTCTGCCTGCCTCTCTGCCTACTTGTGATCTCTCTCTGTCAAATAAATAAATAAAATCTTTAAAAAAATATATATATATATGGAAAGATATTCAGTCTTTCTAAAGTTTGAATAAACACAAATCAACCTTACAGTACCATTTTTTGTTTTATCAGTGAAATTACAAAGAAACTTTAAAAAAAAAACGCACTTAATATGTGAGTGTTGATGAAACAGGTACACTTCCATAATGTGCGTGAAGTCACAGAGAAAAGGCTTTGGAAAAATCTGTGAATAAGTAGTTGGA